AAAACCTACCTAATTTAGCTTCGGGGCATATTCAAGTAAACCTTTGAGAAAAATTGGGGTTTATGGTTGATTTTGTGACATGGTTATGATTTGGTTTACTTATTGCCATTGATGTGTATTGTGCGATTGTCGTGTTATGGAGGTTATGAATTGGGTAATTAAATGTGTAATGCTTTGTGTTGTATAATGTTGCTAATGTCACAATTATGTTATGCTCATGTTTATGATACCTTTGTATGGAATTATTTGGAATAGCATAATAAGGTAATGTGTGGTGTTACATTTATAATGTTTAAACATGTATTATTATGGCATAAATGCACACCATTCATGGCATATGTTATATGAATTCATGATACTTATGCATTTATATTAAAACGCATATGCATGCCAAATTCATGGAAAGGTTTAAAGTCATGAAAAAAGATTTTCTTTTAAGGATTTTTCCAATAACAATTGGAAATTATTTCACGGCTACAAGGTTTTCATGGCTCTTGCATTTCCTTTCGAAGAGTTTCTTCATATTGAAGGAATTGGGAATAGCCCTAATAGAAGGAAATGACATTTCTCACCGAGGGAACCGGTAATGGTCTCGACTATAAGGGAATTGGTAATGGCTCCACAGGAGAAATGCTCGGGGAAAAAGAACCAAGCCCGTACGGACGTGTACGAGCTAAACACTTGGCGGTGGCTCGCTCGACCACGTAAAGGATTCTTCGGAATGATCACGAAAAAGATTTCATGGAAAGGATTTCATGACATGAAAAATGATTTCGGACGAGCATAAAAATGATTTTTCATGTGCGTACATACTCATCATGCATGATTAACTTACCGAGCAATTGCCGACTCGATTCTTGTGGTGTAGGAACCAAATGTAAGACAAATGGCGATGTTCTCAATTGACCTAACTACTAAAGGACCACTTTTGACGGTTCGTCGTGTGTATTTTACGTGTGGATGTAACTCGAACCTCCTCCTCGCTATTGTTTTACTATGCTTGGTGTTTTAGCATAAATAAATGAGTAGTTAGTTAGAAAAGAAGCGAGATATAAATAAATAAGTCATTTTTGTAGTATGTGTCATAGAACCGGTATATGTAAAATATAAGATAGTTTATATGCTAGTCGAAACTTGAACATGTCAATAAAGATAAGATAATATGGTAGTAAGTAGTATTAGATTCCTTTAATCATCTATTTACTTGCAAACATAAATAATAAAATGTAATTATTAAAATAATAAGGAAAGTAACAATAATAAATGACTATTAATGAGGATAAAAGAAATTAAATAGCGAATAGCGAGTAATTATTAAATAAATTTATATAAGCTAATAGAAAAGGAATTTGAGAAAATCGAGCGTCATAAATCTAGTTCATTCAGTCCAAGTAATTTAAATAAAATGCTAAAATATGAAAAATTTACAATGCATTTTGGGCTGAAATTTAGAACTCGCCCGTCATGGTTAGGCTTCCATAGCTAAATCCATATCTAGTATTACCATAGGAAAGACAAAGTGTCTTGTTAGTTTGTATTCATTGCACTTCGAATGTAGAACAACTACGGTAATATTCTCGACCTATTAGGTCTTAGGTTGAGAGTATTACAAGTCATGTTCTTTTTTATTTGAAAAAAATATGAAAAATATAGAAGAATTAATTAAATACAAGATTTTTATAAAAAAAATTATAGATTATATAAAAACAAATTATTACCTTTGATTCGATATGTTTTGATAGCCCATGGTTTTGATAAACCCGCAACATGGCATGGGCTATCAAAACAAATTTTTTATTTTTTTTTTAAGTGTGTTGCGGGTTCTTTTGTTCCGACTTCAATTAAGAGAATCTTATAACAAAAAAAGTAAAAGATGATTATGACATATTTTGTAAGACAGATCAATCTTCTAATTCTAAGAATAGATAAACTAAAGTAACTTGTAAATGTGAACTATAACTACTATTTATGATGTTTTTAAATATTGAAGTTGCAAAAAAACTAAAATCAAACAAATTAAAAAAGTTGCAATGGCCTTGAAAACCTTTTGTGGGGAAATCTTGACTTTTCAAACTAGTTGAATTGCAGGATTGAAGAGTGAAACTCAAATTAAGAAGAAATCAAAATTTCTAATCTAATATGCAATCTAAATAACATTATTAAAGCAATAAATTATAAATCGAAGCAATTAAACACTAATATCAAAATTTGTAGTATGAATAAAAATTAAAAATCTTATAAAGCAAGTAACAGTATTGTAATTTTTTACCGTGCGTAATCGAACAAACATACAATAAAAGAAAATGATGAGTATTCACAAAGTGACACTCCAAACGTAGCAATTGATGAACTAATTACGAAGGATGGTGCATGCATGCACGAATAAAGGATTGGAGAACCAATTACTAGCTTCCATGGCATTGTCTATTGATTATCGCTTATAGATTTATCACCCGCAAGCTATTGTCTAATAAATTTTAAGCGTGAAATTGTGATTGATAATCCTCTTCGAGCTATTTATAAATTTGCAATAGTACATTTGTTTAATCGTATCGTTGTGTGTGTCTTTTTTTCTTTTCTATTGTAGCTAGTATTTATAGGTTCTTAACTATCCATGATCTTTGGTAGTGTTCTATGATCTTGGTGCCGCATAATCTTTTGCAAGACTTTATAATCTTGTGTGATTTTTTTTTCTTGTGCTACAATACTCTGTGTTCTTTGCTATCTTGATCATATCCTAGTTTCTCATGTAACTACTCACTTTCCTTGTAACAATTAGAAAGTAGAATTGGTGTAGTTATTTTGTTATAATTGACTCATTTATTTGTTAATAAATCCAAATATTATGTATAAAAGGGTGGAAGTTGCAAATTTGCAATATTGCTTGAACTCGATTTTTTTTTTTTGGTTATTATATACCAATTTATTCAATTATTTCGTAGAATCGTGCCAAGTACCACTATTAAACATACATTATTCACGTATTTTTGGTATGTTAATAAATTGAAAAAAAAAGTTGCATTGCTCGTGTTCTTTCAGTATTAATTATTACGAGTGAGAGACAGAGATGATAATGAGTCGTGTGTCTACTCTATTCAATCAAATAAATACTCATTAAGAATAGACAAGTGAGGCGAGTAAAGATGAAAAATATTTATCTTTTAATATGATTTCAGAATATAAATATTTATTTTATACCATACTAATTCTCACTCATATATTTTGAAAAGAAAAATAAACTTACAAGAACTTAATTGCATAAAAATTTTAAATTGGAAATCAAAATATTTTTTTAAAAAAACTATGAGGACAAAAAAAAACATATAAACAAGGACTAAATTGTAAAAAAATTAAGAACCAAAATGTTTTTTTAAATAATAAGGACTGAAATGTAATAATTTGATAAACTATTTTTAACGGTTATTAAATAACCGATAAAGCGACTATAAATCAAAAACGAATTTATAAAATAATTTCTTAATATATATATATATATATATAGATAAAAATTAAATTAATAGATTAGATATTTAACTCGATACCATCCTAACCCGAAATTCCTCCTTCGTGGGTATTCCATAACACAATTTAAAATAATGGAGTTTTGTAGGCGTTAGAAAACAACAAAATCAAGCATTTGATAATGGGTAAAGCTCGAAACCAGTCGGAGACGGCAAGTGTGAGGTGCTGTGATCGTGGTAAATCACATCAGAGCTCCTTCGATTCATTCTAAATACACCACGTGGAGGCTTGTGGTTTGCCTCTCAATTCCCCCACAACAAAAATCCCTCATATTAAATCTGATGATTGGATCATTTAATTAATTTAGATTAATGTAAAAACTACATATACTATACAAACGCTTAGATTAAATCCCACCAAAAAAAAAAATACTAAAACTAAAAACTAAACTAGTTAAAACGAGTGAAATAGGATAAATTCTGGTTGATTAGACCAAATGCATTCAGCATAGTTTCAATCTGAAGAAATTAAAAATATTACAATCCGTAATATTTGCTGCGTTATTCTTATTTCTTCATAAATATCACAATTCATCCCGTCATCTGGCCACTAACTAATTAACCAATAATCGAACGATTAGGTAGCTTGATCATGTGACTATCGAGTTGGTTTTTATAACATTAAGATAAATACATAAAAATTGAACAGTAGAAGTTGAAAATCTGACAGCTGATTCACACCTTGAAAAATCACAATGGTACTGGTCAAATGGCTGCAAAATTTTTTTTTTTTAAAAAAAGCCTTGAATGGTAAAATATTCCCCGATTCGACCATCTAATATAATTTATTCCCTCGCGAAATGGACAAAATCAGGGAGTCAAGCTGACCATGCTCGAAAAGTAAAAACTAAAAAGGTCAAGGTGGGGATCTAATAATGTATGATCTTCCTGTGTAGATATGATTTTCATACCCACCATGGGTCCATTGACTCCGACATGTCTTTCATTTTTTTTTCGATCTTGTCCCTGCATGAGTAATCCACCCAACGACCAGAACCGGATCAGACGCCTAACCTTTAATATGCGGCCGGGATCTGTGATTGTATGGTCTACCTACTGGCCTGAATTATAATGGACCTCTCACTGATTGCGACCAGCGATAAATTGTAATTGGAAAAGCAATACTATTCGAACCAATCATCAGTATATTTCTTCTACCTTACTGTTAAAAACTATGTATATGGTTATACGATGTAAATATTTTCTTATAAAAAAATAGTAATTTAACACCTTTTCGATGCACATGCATTTAAAAAAAAAATGTCAAATACAGTCTAAATGTATTACAAAAAAAAAAAAAAGCATAAATATAACTCGTGAAAAATAATGTGATTGTTGCTAAGAAAGATAAATAACTTTTAGGTGATCAACTGACAACTTTGAGAATAAGAATATCATTAAAGAACAAAGTATTTTTCTTTTAAATGGTTGGATTTTAACCAAAAGATGTTTCTATTTTAGTTTTTTACCTTCATAAAAATGCGGAATTCTTGTCGTGCTGTAGAGGCATTCTTGGATCAATTTGCTAGCGCTGGGTCCGATCAAGTCTGCCCCTCCAGTCCCGTGAAAACTTTGTACCAGTGCACGGAGGTTTGCATCGCATTATTTCATCATCCCATGTCCTTAAGAAATAGTATGGAGTACAATTGAGTGCCTTCAATTTAATACCCTTTACATTCTCATAAAACACGAGAACAACTTAGTATTTGTACTTCTGACATGACTACATATTTTATATATTTTTCTGATCTCTAGTCATTTTACCTTGATTTTAAATAAAGATTATCGTCGTTTTTATAACTACATATGCTATTTAAAATTATGCTTTCGATTGTATATTTTATGTATTTTATTTTATTTTTCGTCGTTTCATCTTGATATTAAACAAACTTCTGACGTAATTAAGGAATAAGAGTCTGTTTGTTTTTCAGCCACATGTATTAATTTTTTTTTAATTGAATCTTAAATAAAATCATTCAAGTTCAAACTCATGCCTTCCAAAAAAACTTTTTTATTTATTTTGTCTGAAAAACTGCCTATTTTTCTTTTTATATCTATTTTAAAAACATTTATCTTGTCAAAATTTTAAACGATATATATAATTAAAGTCAATTTTATAAAAAATTGACTAAATAAAATTTTCAAGAAAGAATATTTAAAAAGATAAAAAAAATAGATTTTGATATTACATAATAATTAATACACTTCACTTGAAAAGTTAAAAATGATACGTTTTTTGTTGACTATTTTACTCATGAACTAGGGGTGAACATTATTTGGTTAAAATCTAAAAACCAAACTGAATCGAATCGAATTAACAATTTCAGTTTAGTTCGGTTTTTTTTTTCAAATTCGGTTTTCACCAAAAACCAAATTTTTTTTTTTTAAACACACACCCAAACTCTTATTTTAAAAAAAAAAATCAAAGAGATACCTATGGGTTTAACTAAAAGAACAATAGCTTTAATGATTTTTTTTACTTAAAATAGAAATATTTTCCATTAATTATTTATTGAAATAATAAAATAATTGATTATATTATATTGACTCGCAAAAAAAATAAAAAAAAAGATTGTGATAAAGAAATTCTTTATAAATACACAAATTTATGTGTTGGTAAATCCTAAAACCTCATGAAAAAAATTATCTCATTGTATTAAAATTGGCACGGACATAAATTAAAAATTGTTTTTTTTTCATATTATATATTCAACAATAAAATATGCACAAAATAAATAGATTTAAAAAAAATAAAAAATTAATAAAAAACTAATTATAGTGTGATTGAAAAAATAATGAAAGTCTGAACTAATTTAGTTTATAATATAAATAGAAAAAAATTAGTATAGAAAAATAATAATATTCATACATAATTTTCTTATAAAATCAAATGTGAAATATGCAATCTTTGATTATGCAAGTTTGATATTTTTTAAAAGCAAAATAATTCGATTTTTAGAAGAAAAAAATTATGTTTTTAACCGAAAATCGAAAAACCGAATCGAAAAATTCGGTTTTTAATTGAAAAATCGAATCTCAATTCGGTTCGATTTCAGCTTTTGTTTTAGTTAATTCGGTTAATCGAAAAAGAAAAAAAACATCAAAACCGAATCGAAAAACTAAACGATCACCCCTATCATGAACTCTCTTGAAATTTTGTCCGGTTGCTAAGTAGTTTTACTGATTTGCTAAGAAAAGTTGGTTGACGATGGGGATTTGTTAGTTAAAGCTGAGAAATAAAATTATGGTATTAAGATAAAGCACTTGAACAGCTGTTATAAATGCTTTCAAGTGGGCGTCTGAAATTCTGAATCCCAACGCTCCGAGATATGTGTGAAGCATGTCTGATTATTCCTATGCTTAACCTTGAAGATACGCAATTCCAGCATTTATTGTTTTCTTTCCCTCAAGAGTGTGTTAGAGAGTCTAAAAAGGGATGGACTTTTGCGGGGTACAAGTATTTTCAAGTTTCCACTTCGATGAAATCAAGAAATGGTATCGCGGAATTGGCATTTACCGGATGAGGTCTCGAGGTGCGTTTGTTAAGATATTGAAAAAAGAAAAAAAAGTTGAATTGTTTTAAAAATAAACGCTGGATATAAAAGTGAATATAATTTTTTTAAGAAGATATTTAGGAGATTTAAAATCAAATAGATCAATGAGCCAGGTGGAAGTCAAATTTAACAAATGAATTATAAAAAAATCATGTGCGTGAGAGGTTTTTATGAATTGATCAGACGATTAGTTGAAATGATAATTAAAATATAGTACTAAAAAAGACACAAATCAATGTACAAATCAAATAGCTTATAGATTAAATTAGATGAAACTTTAGGTGTTATTGGTGTGTAAATGAGATAGCTAAAAAAGGAAGAGTTCATTAAAAGTTAAGATGATAAAGTTTCAATCATCTTACAACGAAACTTTAATGTTCATGTTTATAGTGAATTAAACGTGACTCTTTGTTGTTGGGATAATATCAAGTCATCTATCTATATTTAGACGATTAGATTTAAATTAAAGAAATTGAATTTTTTTAGACTAAAGTGCTTTAACTTATGAGTAAATGTTAAAAGTAATAATTGAACATCCCTCGTCAATCTTAACTACGAGTCTATCAAGTCAATTTTCTTAATAAATCTTAAAATCAAAACATCAACATTAATCCTATTATAATATCAATGTCCATCTTTGCACGGCCTAAAGTCTCATATTGGACGAAACTCATTCTCGGTTTAATTTATTTGTCGTGTAGCTTGAATTTATGTAAAAAAAAAAAAATTATGAATTAATATATAACAAAAATTAACTAAATTACTTAATAAATTTAAGAGGAAATCGAGTATTAAACAAATATGTTCGTAAATCTTAATGTACAAAATGTGATTAAGATAGTGAATGTGAACTATAAAATTAAAGAAAGTAAAAAATATAAGTGAAGAGAAGGATTTTTAAAAAAATCTTTTACCTAACGCTGTGGTTGACAAGAGGAGAACGTGGGGGGAATGTAAATTTTTGGTGATTGGATTTTTCCATTGTTTGGAAAAATTTACCCCATAGAGCCACTATTTTGGTTTTGTCCATAAGTGGGGAGAGAATGGAGAAAAAACTTCTCACAAATTTAAATTTTACTAATTTACGTATATTCTTTTACCTTATACATTAAAAGATGTTAGGATAAATGTTTTCTAATTTCACCAATTTAAGTATAATCTTTTACCTTATATGTTAAAAGATATTATATTTTTATTATTAAAATCTTCGGTCGCTCTCCATTTATATTTATTTAACTTCGTGCTCTCTCTCTCTCCCCTTATGTATGTGTGTGTCCGAACGCATATATATATATATATATCATTTTCTTGTCTCTTTCAACCCATCTAAAATTAATAATCTCTTATTTTTTTATTGCTTTCATTTTCTCTCCACCCAAATAAAATGCAAGGTAATTTTTTTTTTATCAAGATGAATGTTAAATTTGAATATTCTCTTCATCTAACACTAACAATTAACTATTCATAAATATGGACTCGTCAAAAAAAAAAAAAAAGATTAAATGTTATTTTGGATTTGGATCAAATGTAGATGTTAACCTCCCTTATAATTCTCTTTCTTTATTTATTTACAAGAAAGAAGAATGGTATTGCACTATGATAACTACCCTCCTTTTATTCACATCAAATCACCTTGCATGTTTTTTATAAAGTAACCCACGTGTGCAAATTGTTAATGAATGCCACGTGTGAAAGTTTATTATTCTTCTTAAGATTAGTTTGTTAGAACTAATTATATAGTTAGCGATTAGTTATAGATAATTAGTTTGTTAAACATGTATAAAAGGTATTAACGAGTGCATGTAATCAATTTGAGTTCTTCAAGTTGAACTATCATATTTACCAAATTTTCTTTTTCTTCTTTCTCTTCTTTCTTCACTCAACCATAGAAGTTAACATGGTCTCGTAGTAGGAAGTGTTTTAGGGTTTCATTTCACTATTTTTCATTCTTTTTTTCAATTCGTTATTCAATGTTTGCCATGGCTGAACCAACTCTAACATCCGAAGATTATCACTTACATTTCATTCATCACTCGATCACCATAATCTCTGCAGTTACTCCCGAACTAACTATAAAGAATTATGGTACTTAGAGCAAGTCCTTTATGCTTGCTCTTTCAATTCGTAACAAATTAGGTTTTGTTGATACTTTCATTTCTTAACCTACCCTCATTGAGATTAGTTTATTAGTTTGTTAGAGCTAATTATACGGTTAGCGATTAGTTATAGATAATTAGTTTGTTAAAGATGTATAAAAGGCATCAACGAGTACAAGTAATCGATTTGAGTTCTTCGATTTGAACTATCAACTTTACCAAATTTTCTTCTTTCTTTTTTCTCTTTTTTCTTCGCTCAACCATAGAAGTTAACATGGTATTAGAGTAGGAAGTGTTCTAGGGTTTCATTTCACTATTTTTCATTCTTTTTTTTTCAATTCATTATTCAAGGTTTGTCATAGCTGAATCGGTTCCAACATCCGAAGATTATCACTCTCTATATTTTGTTTATTACTTAGATCACCATGATTCTTTTGTAGTTACTCATGAACTAACTATAGATAATTATGCTACTTGGAGTAGGTCCTTTATACTTGCTTTTTCAATTCACAACATATTAGGTTTTGTTGATGGTTCTATTTCTTAACCTAAGACGGATGATCGTCTTCTCAATTTCTAGAATTAGTGTAATAACCCAATTATAGCTTGGTTATCAAGATCAATTGTCACCTCTTATTTCGCAATAGTGCTTCTATGTATACTCAACCTTGAAGGTTTAGGAAGTTTTGAAGAAAATGCTCTCACACTCAAATGAACCAAGGATATATAATTTGTAGTGGTCTTTGTGTTCAATCACTTATGATACTAGATATGTTAGTACTTACTTTACCGAACTCAATAGAGTACGAGATGATTGAGAAACATTAGGATTATACCTTATTGTAGTTGTGGAGCTTACAAGATCTTGAATGTTTTTAGAAGTTTTTAGAGATTCACAAAAAAGATTATATATGTGTTCAAGTTTCTCTATGGTTTAAATGAATTATTCACTTCATCGAAGTTTTAGGTTCTATTTGTGAAGTTATTTCATAGTTTATATTAAGTCTATAACTTAGCTATAAGAGAAAAATCATGCAGATTTATTCAAATTCTGAATCATCCTTTTAATTAGTGTTCGTTATGGTCGCATTGTCTAATAACGGAAGAAGGATGGATATTACTTGTTCTTATTAAGTAAAATCTAGACATAGTAAAGATAAATGCTCGCATGCTTATTGGTTTTCCTACAAATTTCAAATTCACTTAGAATAAGACTTACGGTAATAAAGGAAATCACGAACATGGTGGTTTAGTTTCGGTTCTGGTCATGGTTATGGAAATTCCTCCGGATATATCAATAATATTGCCTTAGAACAAGTAAAATTTGCTCATGTTCAAGATAATATATAACTTGGTCAAGTTATGAGTGATGTGTTCATTTAAGAGCAAGTTTCCAAGCTCATGGCTCTTTTAAATGCTCAAGATTCACTAACTATATCATCACAACTTCAAATCATACCAATTCCTCCATAACGTTTCATTCTCAAATACTTTTACTATTCCTCATTTCCAACCTATCTCTAGTCCGTCGTGTGATGATTTTATTATCTCTATATATTGTCGTTCATAAAGCATTGATTCTCAATTTAGTCATTATACTTGGATAATAGATACATGTATAATCGACCATATATCATACTCTTTTGATTTTTTCAAAACTCATAAGCTAGTTTTTAATATGATAGATTAAATGTCAAATGGCATTAAAGTCGTCGTTACTCATATTGGTTAAATTTATTTGTCCCTTTCCTTCATATTACAAGATGTCCTCTATGTATCTTTCTTTTAATTCAATCTTATTTCAATTGGAAAACTCACGAGACAAAGCATCATACAAATTGATATTTTCTGCTGATTCTTGTATGATCTAGGACATTTTTTTTAAGGATAATGATTGAAACTACTAAACTTTAAGCATGATTGTTCTTATTTCAAGCTATTCAAACTTCTTTTGTTTCTCTTATCAAACATTCTTTTAATGTTTAAATAGTTAGTGATAGGTTTAAGAATCAATTGATTTCTAATATATGACATTACGTATTAGGTCATATATCATTTGATAGAGTCAAATTGATTAGTCAAAAATACTCTATAATTCATTGTAATGATAGCACTTGCTTCGTTTGTCTTTTGAAAAAAAAAGAGGTTACCTTTTCCTGTTCATAACAAAAACACAGTTTCTCCTTTTAAGTTGGTTCATGTGGACATTTGAGGGTCTTATTCTATTGCACCTCTTGGTAACTTTCACTATTTCTTGATTGTGGTTAATGATCTCACTCGTTCGAAAATAAATTAAATATCTTGTTCATTATTCCTTCATTTTTATCAATTGATTCTTACATAGTTCAATTACTCTAACAAAGAAATTAGATCAAATAATGATCTTGATTTTCATCTCCCCATTCTATATGCTTATAGATGAATTATTCAACAATTGTCTTGCATGGAAACTCTTCAACGGAATGCTACTATTAAAAGAGAACATCAACATCTATTGAATGTAGCTCGTTATCTTTCTTTCAAGCGTCCTTGTCTTTAAAATTATGGAGGGATGTTGTACTTAATGCTGGCTATTTAATAAATAAGATACCTTCTCTTTTATTGAATAATTTGACTCGTTATGAAATCTTATTCAAATTTTCACCATAATATGATCATTTGAAGGTTTTTAGATCATTATGTTTTGT